ACAACCATGTTAGATACCCCCCTGGGTGTCCTGGGACCTCCTGGGGCCTCCTGGAGAGGGCCAATCTATAGGAACAAACGTAAAAGCAGACGGATTCGTGCCCCTGACCCAAATGTGCCCCGCACCCTGTGATTTATCGATCGGGATTTCAAAAACCACCGTCTCGCTAGGGGCACCCTGAAATTGTCCACCCCGAATGATAATGTACCTCGGTATCTCTCGCAAATATTTCTGCCGGTCGAAACCGGGGGGAAACAGAACAATACCAAAAGAGAACCCTGAGCCCGCGCCCTCTCCGGGAATATCCATGTTGTGCGTAATCGGAAAAACGGGAACTGCATGCCCACGAGGGGGAGGTGGCGGGTGAAGAGGAGGATGACCGGGAAGAGGAGGATGAGGACGAACAGCAGCAGGAGGAACAAAAGCGGAAGGATAGAGAGGAATAAGAGGACCAGGGAGAGGCGGAGGAGGGGAAATGAGGGGAGCGACAGTGATGAAGACAAGCCGGATTCAGAAACGTGGCCCGCGCTGAAGCGAGACGAGAAGCAGCAGCAACAGGAACTGGGGTGGAAGGAGCGGGTAAGGAGGACCAGGGGAGAGCGGACAGGAGCGGAGCGGAGCGGCGCCGATGTCGCCCAGAGAACGTCCCGTGTGGGGAACGGCTGGTGCGCCAAGGCGCCGCAATTCTGAACTCGGAACTCGGCCGAAGTCGGAAAGAAGGGAGCTGGAGTCGGAAACGTGGGAACTGAACTCGGAATGACGGGCGCTGGATTCTGAAAGTTGGCAGCCTGAAGCAGGAAATTGAGAGACGGAGTCGGGGAGACTGGCGTCGGAGTGGGAAAATTGGGAGCTGGACTCGGAGAGATGGGAGCTGGACTCGGAAATTTGGTAAATCGCAACAACCACTTGACCAAAAAAATGAAAACAGTATTTGAGCAGCGCAATTGCTTAAAACGCTTGTCACGCGCGCCTATTTGAATTCATCAAATTTTAATTTGCCAGGTTTAAATTCATCCGGTTTTAATTCGCCCAGTTTAAATTCAGGACTGGACTTGAAGAGGTTTTCTGTTTATTCCAACTTCTAGGACCTTCCCAGGGGTCCGGGGATGCATGTTGTGCACAAATATCAAACTTGAGCCGATGTTCTCGGGGCTCTTCAGTTCAGACACTTCAGCCGCCTGAAATGCACGAGTGTTGTTGTCAATTCTGGTCATCCCACATGGGGTTCTAGCTGATGGGGTCGGGAGATCGCAACGAATCGCCGACGCATCGCCGACGCACGCGCGACACATACGAGATGCACGCGCGAAATAAAACAGATGAACCCGGGCGAGTGAACACCGGACGAATCGAAACTGGAAGAAAAAATCCGAAGAGACGCCGAAAGGCAGCCAAGAGGCCTTTGGCCTTTGTGCTCGCTCTGCTCCCCCTCATCCTTCTTCTCTTCCTTTTCTGGTTGTTCCTCCTCCCTTTCCTCCCTCCACAGGGAAGCAATAAGGGTGCTATTCTCCTTCCTTCACCGAAGTTTTGCGGAAGATCTCCCACCCCGCCAAGTGTGTTTTACACGGAAGATGTCGACAATTGTTGTTGTTTTACGCTTTGTTGTGCAATCCGATTGTTTCCAGCGTTTCAAAATGGTGCTGCTGGTACCGTGTGGGCCTCCTCCTCGGATCGGCGCTGTGCTCCCGTCGTTCAAAATGGAGCTTATTGTGGTGCCCCTTATTATTTCCAATTCCCATTTTGCCATCCTCCGCTCACAATTTCCTGACTCCAGCCCCGAACTTTCCGACTCTTGCGCTCGTCTCCCCGACTCCGGCTCCCAACCAATTCCAGCTCCGATCTCTCCGACTCCGGTTCCCAACTCTCCGACTTAGTCTCCTCATTTTTCGACTCCGTCACCCAACTTTCCGACCCCAACGCCCATCTCTCCGAATCCAACTCCCAATTTTCCGACTCCGACGCCCGTCTCCCCGACTCCGGCTCCCAACCGATTCCAGCTCCCATCTCTCCGACTCCGTTTCCGAATTTTCCGACTCAGTCTCCTAATTTTTCGACTCCGACACCCAACTTTCCGATCCCAACTCCCATCTCTCCGAGTTCAGCTCCGAATTCTCCGACTCCGACGCCCGTCTCTCTGGCTCCGTCTCCCAGTTTCCCGCTTCTGGCTGCCAACTCTCAGAATCCAACGCCCGTCATTCCGACTCCAGCTCCCGCGTTCCCGACTCCAGCCTCCTACTTTCCAACTTCGGCCGCATTCCGAATTCAGAATTGAAGCGTTCTGGCGCACACGCCATTTCCTACACGGGACGCCCTCTAGGAGAATTTCACGCCGGGCAAATTCAAAACCGGATGAATTGAATGAATTTAAACCGGACGAATTAAAACTGGATGAATTCAAACCGGACGAATCAAAACCGGATGAATATAAACCGAACGAATTAAAACCGGATGAACTTAAACTGGACGACTTAAACCGGATGAATGTAAACCGGACGAATGAAAACAGGATGAATTTAAACCGGACGAATTAAAACTGGGCGAATTTAAACTGGGCACATCTAAACGCGGGAAAAGGTTTGAATGGATGAAATGGATAACGCGGGCCACACAGTAGCCCACAGAGGAAGTTAAAACCGGATGAATTTAAACCAGACGAATGAAAACCGGATGAATAAATTCAAACCGGACGAATGAAAACCGGATGAATTTAAACCCGAGCGAATTTAAACCGGATGAAATTGAACCGGGTGAAATCAAACGGATGACATAACCTGATGAAATTAAACGGATGAAATTCAACGGATGAAATTAAACTCGGATGAAACAAAGGTGAATCCCCCAGGCCCCCCCCTTGCACCTCGGGCCCCAGCTGGCCCCTGAGTTTGAAGGGGGGCCGCCCACAGGCTCGGGGCTTGAATTCGGAGAGTTTGGCGTGCTCAGGCTGACCTCAGCCCCCAGAGGCTTTCGACGAAGGGGAAGTCTACATAGACGGTAGTTGCGCCAGCCACGGGCACTGCGTTCTCAATGCCGCGGGGTTTGCTATTGCGCGCAAGCGCGCCGGCGAAGTGCTCGCCAGATGAATCTTCAAACCTCGGGGGGCGCGGAACATTTAGCTGCTGTTACTGCTGGCCTAATGTCTGCTGACATTGAAGTTGTCGACTCAGATTATAAAAGGGGTTATCTTGCTGCATGGCGGCGAGGACTACCCCCGTCGCAACTTGTGGGCTGGGTTTAAGGTCCTTGCGGGTCGCGGGCGTTTCCCTGTGGGGCAGAGGCTCCTGAAGGTCAAGGCCCACCAAGACGCCGAAGCCCGTCCCGCGGGCAGCGAGGCACGAAGGCTGGCGAAAGGCAACGACGCCGCGGACCGTCTGGCCAAGGCGGCTGCGCAGCGAGGAGCCCAGCCAAGCGAAGATAAGAACCGCAGTTTTTCAGAGGACCAGAAGCTTGTGAGGACATATCTCACGCATGTGGCCCAGGCTCTGGGAGAGTGGCCTGCGATAGCCCCTGAGCGCAACAAGGCCCTGGCCGCCCCAGAGAAGAGCCTCTCTCCTCCCACGGGCGCTGCCTCAGCCCTGTCCTCTCGGGGTCCCTCGGCCTTGTCGTCGACGTCGGTCCAGGCTCCTCCTCCTCCTCCTCCTCCTCCTCCGCCTCCTGAGCCCCATGCTGCCCAGAGAGAGCCTCGGAGGGTCCACAACTGGGCGATGACGTGTGGTAAGTGGCGTTGTATACTGTGTACAGACCCGATCGATCAAGCAGAGAGTTGCGCTCGAGGCCACAGTGTCCTGGCAATTGCAAGCAGGTGTCTGATCTTGTGCACGATGGCAAAGGCCATGACCTGTTCTATTATGAGCACCTCGATCTCCCAACGAGTATCTTGGTTTGCCATAGGTGCGGATCCTACTCTGAAGGGTTGGGCCGAGGGACCACTGGAGTTTACAGCACTCGAGTGGCCCACCAAGGCGCTGTCACACAGCTTGCTCGCGCCCAGGAAGGGCGGGATCCGAAGGTATCTAGGAGTTCCCCGATCGTTTTCTCGACCCCAGCGATTCCACTGGCTAAGTTGGTCAGGGAAGAGCAGGCGAAAGTCAGTGGGCAATGTGGAACCCAAGAGCCCAGATAGGCCCACACCAGGGGCGAGGCCTGCCGCCACCGTCCTGGCGTTCTTTACACCAGGGGCAGGCGGGCCTCGTCGTCCTGGCGTCGCCTCGTGATTTTGTGTGTGTGTGTGCGTGTGCGTGTGTGTGTGCGCGCATCAGCACGCGTGTCAGGCACCCCGAATCAGTGGGAAGGAGCACTGGAAGATTCACCCCTCTGCGGCGATGGTCGCACAGAGGGCCATTCTCCTGCGGGTGAGCTCGGCACGGGGGTGGACTTGGTTTAGCCAGCCCACCCCGACAGTCGCTCGCCCCCCGCGTTCAGCGGTAGCCCGACGCTCGCAGCGGGCTCGATCTGGGGTTTTATGTCGTCCTGGCTGGCGGTGCTGGTGACACGCAGCCAGCCCTGGAATTCGGGCCGAGGGGTTCCGTCAGTCAGGCGATGCTGGCCGTCCTTTTCACTGCTGCGTTTTTTTTGGCGTTCCCCTGTTGCACGGCCGTGGAGTGCAGGCTTGCTGCCTTTGCGGCGACAGTTGCACAGGAGAGCCGCCCCCCGTGGGGTCTGGGCACGGGGGTGGACTTGGTTGGCCAGTCCACTTCGACCGCGCCGCTCAGCCCCACCCCTCCCCCTTGCCCTTGCGGGCGGCGGAGGGGAGGAGCAGTTGTGGCCAGGTGCGCGAACGCCATATCACGGCCCTTCGCCCTCGCTCGCTCAGCGTCGGCAGCGTCCTGCCGTCTCTGCGGCCAGTTGGTTCACTCGCGGCCGCAGTGGAGAACATAGTTGGCCCAGTGCCACGAGGTTTCAGGTTTGGGCCGGATCGACCAACCCTTAGCCTCCTTCATTAGCCTTGTGATTGTCCTCCTCCTCCTCCTCCGCCATTCCGCCCCCCCCCCCCCTGCGCTGTCCGAGCGCTTGTTGGGCAGCGCACCGTTGAAGCAGTTCAGCACGTACACGACTTGAGTCCTCCCCGCCCCCATCCAGGGGGCGAGGCGGGGAGGGGTGGGGGGAACGGGGAGGAGGAGGGGGACTGGGGCGGGCAAGGATGAGGAACACGAAAGAAAAGCAAAAACGAGGAGCCAGGAGGAGCAAGGGGTGGGGAGGGGAAAGAGCAGGAAAGGAGGAAGAAGGGAAGGACAAGGAAGACCGGGAGGACCGTGCCGCGACAACCGAACCAACCCCCCACTGCCACCAGCGGCCACGGTGCGCTCCGTCGTCGAAATCGCGGGCCGACTCGGACCGTAGGGCAGGCCGCGGCGGGCCTGGGCCGCGGCAGCCGTGGAAAGTATCTGGAGATCCGCGATGTTTTTCAGAATGGGGCGGAACGAAGCGCGCCAGCATCTGCGTCTGCCTGCGAGCGGAACCTGGAAGGCCAGCGCGGGCGGGCCTGAGCCTTGTTGGCCGCGGTTGGGGTCGACGGCCGTCGCTGGAGGTCTCAGGAGAACCCCAGACGCATCCAGAGGTCTGTGGAAGCCCCCAGGGAAAAGCATACAACCCATCTGCAACCAGTGGCACCATCAACGGGCCCATCCAAGACAAAGGCATAGGTAAGGCCACGTGGCATTTCGTCAAAGCTGAATGGGGGCCGTTCATTGCACGGCCAATGGGACGCGCACGAGGCAGCACCGAAGGAACAGAAGTGGAAGGACGACAGCAGGACGACGCCGACGAATGTGAGGAGAAGGGGGAAGAGACTGGGCGTTGATACATGAAAAGGGTGAGCTGCATGGGCAAAGACGAGCACCATAACATGGAGGAGCCAGAGGACGGCGCACATGGCAAGAAGGAATGGCATGCGATCGGTGGCGACGAGTGTGGGCTTGCTTTTGGCTTGCGGGCCAAAGAGCCTCCACTAGAAGGGTGCCGAGCAGCAGGTGTGGGAATTTGACACGTAGAAGTAAATGTGCGGAAGGAGTGATCTCCACCATGAGTTTCGGCACGCGTGCGTTCGGCACTTGTTTCCACGTGTTTCTGGCCACGACGAGGCCGCAGGCGAGGGACCCGATTTGAGCCGCCAGAAACTTCACACGTAAAACATACTCGCGCGATGGGGGGCGGGCCAAGGCGCGCGCGCGCTCGGCATGAGATCTCACGTGTCCACGGCCCCCAGGGGGGGGACCCAACTTGGGCGCTGCGCGGAGAGGAGTGGACCAAGGCGCGTGCGCGCGGAGCACGTGTTTTCACGTGTCCGAGGTCCCGCACGGGGGGGGCGCGTCGAATTGTCTACACGTGACAATGCGTGCACGGAGGAAGGGTCCCAACATGCGCCTGACGCGTGCGCGCGAGGCACGCGTTCTCACGTGTCCACGGCCCCCATGGAACTTGGGTGTCGGATCCTTCACACGTGGAAATACGAGCGCGGAGGAGGGCTAACCCAACAGCCCCCAAAGGATGACCCAACTTGGGCGAAGGAAAGAGGAAAGAGGAAGGAGGAGGAAGGAGAAGGAAGGAGGAGGACGCGGAGGAGCAGGAGGAGCAGGTGGCGGAGGCGGAGGATAAGCAGGGCGTGCAGGAGGTCGTGGCTGCAGCCAAGCAAATGGAAAGTCGTGGCTCCCTCCAGTTGTCACGTCGCCCTCACAACAGCGATCTAAGATTGAGCCATCTAACCAACATCACGGCCTCTCCCACTCTGCAGCGGAGGCATTTTTAGACACACTGGCTGCATCGCTGCCCCATTAGAGGACCAAACAATAGCATTAACGTACTACAGGTGCGTTTCGTGACTACATCGGCGTTGGTTTCTGACACCGCGGGGATCTTCCGACCTTGAACGGTCGGCCATTTCCAAAACGTCAGGACGTTCAACATCCACCGATTCTGGGTCGCCGGCGGCGTCCAACGTCGAACGCCAACGGTGGGGTCGCCGCTGGTCGACACGACGCGCACCTACCATAAACCTATACAACTTCCAGGAGCTCTGGAAGCTCAAGCTCCGGACAGGAACTTCTGGAAAGCTTGACGGCAAACGTATTGGGAAACAGTTTGAAAAGGCCTTCCGGGACAAGCTGCACGTTCGCAGGATGTCTTCCCGACGCTCCCTGACGTAAACCGAAACGAGCCCCGGGGGCTACCCTGCGGCGCCAACTTCTAACCTGAAGCCCTCTTGGCTCGTTGCGAGCTATACGGGAACCCGTTGGGTCGGCGCTGGATGCCCCCCTTCCCCGCAGCCCCTCCCGGGCGCACGGAGCGCTCTGGCGGCGCCGCCGAAGCCCCCGCCTCGAGTGAGGGTCGTGGGGAGGCCAGAGTCCCCTGCGCCAGCCCAGGAAATCCGCGCGGATGCCCCGAAGAGCTCTGTCTACTTCTTTGCTCGCTGTGTCTTGGGGGAACAGGCGCTGGCACAGACATGGGGAAAGCAAGAACGCATCGACGGTTTCAACCGTGCTGTATTCGGGCTCCACCGGACTCCTCCACCCAGGTTGTAGCCTCGCTGAGAAATCGCCTTGAGACCTACGTCATTACAGATCTCAGGCTTCTTTCGCCCAAGGTTGTTAGGGTATTAATTCCGCCACCTGCTCCTGCCAACCAACCTAACACAAAGCACTGGTTTAACACAAGTTGAAGACCCAGGCAATGACACAAACACGAACTTTCGGAGGTCCGCGCGGATGTCTCGGTTCGGCGCTGGACCCCCCTCCCAAGGGTGCTGATCGCGCCAGGGGCGGCGCTGGAGGCGCCGCCAGGCGGGCCCCAGCGCCTCTGGTGCCGCCCCTGGCGCGATTCGCGCGCCGGGGAGGGGGGGTCCAGCGCCGAACCGAGAAATCCGCGCGGACCTCCGACAGTTTACGTTCGTGTCATTGCCTGTTCCCCGATGTTCGATCCCCTGGAGGCCTCCCACATGGGGTCCGAGCAGGTGGGGTCGGAGGATCACGCCGCATCGCCGATGCGTCGGCGATGCATCGGCGATGCGGTGCGATCCTCCGACCCCATCTGCTTCGACCCTATGAGGAACGCCTGGATCCCCCCCCTCCCCACATCACACAGAAGTCGCTGAAGAAGCCGGGCAGGGGCGGCTCCGTGAGCTGCCGGCGCCGCACCTCCGCCAGCACCTCCTGCACGCCGAACTCCTCGAGGCGGGGGCCGCTGGCCGCGACAAGGCCCAGGGGGCGGCCCAGGCGCGAGAGTGGCAGGCGTCGGGTTGCGCACAGATCGGGCAGGCTGGCAGAAGGGGGTTTGAGAATCAGCTCACGTAGCTGATTTTCCCGGCGCCTCCTGGCGCCGGAGGCGGCCATGTATCGAGGAATCGGCCCTTTCGGTGGGGCCGGAACCAGCTGCATGCAGCAGATTTCGTACCCCCTTTTCCCTATCCCACCCTTTCGTCTGGCCCGAACAGACAGCCCCCCCCCCAGGTGGGCACACACACACAAGCCATACGCCGTCCGGCGCGTGGGCGGGAAAACAAGCTCAGCACAGCCTGTACTGTAAGGGAGAGGAGGAAGAGGAGGAAGAGGAGGAGACAGAAAACAAACATGCATGCAAAAAACGCAAGAAAGCGGCCTGCCGGGGCTCACGGGCATGAGTCCTTATACGTTGATGTAAATGTTGTCCAGGCTTGTTCGTCCATGATTGCTTCAAGTAGGTGTTGTTCTGACAGGAAGCAGACTTTGACCTTGTCGTACAAGCATTTTGCCCATTCATTTCGCGGCCTCCCAGGAAACCATTTCACGATGCTTGTTGCCGGACGGGCGCTGTTGGGCATGAAAGTGAGCTGCCTCAGTGCATCAGCCTCGCTGCTACGACATACTTTTCCGAACCACGCCAATTTGTTGACCAATAACTGTGATGTGTGCGGTGTTTGGCCAAATCTTTCCAATATGGTTTTGTTTGGAACTCTCGAAATGTACGGGTGTCTGACGCCCAAAACCGAACGAAGACACCGGGCTTGGAAACCGTCCAGCCTGCGTCTGTCGGCTTTGTTCAGCCAGGCACGGCTCAGCGAGTACATTATAAAGGAAAAAGAACTATGCACATACACCGATTCTGGCCAGGCCCATCCTGAGCCCAGGATCGGTGCATACGCCCTCCTACCCTGGCCAGGAAGGCACATGCACCGATCCTGGGTCAAGGACGGGCCTTGCCAGGATCGGTGCATGTGCATAGTTCTCTTCGCCCGACATTACTTTAGTTGTGATGAGAGCTCCAAACACTTCCAATGTACGCTTCAGACTGATCGATGTATGCTTCCACGCCTGCGTATACCTTTGGAATTCCCCGCCATGCGGCGCCCAACCTCCTGCCCAAGTCCTCCTTTATACTTCCACCGTCGTACAATGTCGCCCCCAAGTACTTCATCTGCGTGGTGGGAGTAATGCGTTTGCCGGACGGATCTGTAATACGCAAATCACATATTATCTGCAACAGCTGAAATTTATCCCAATGCAGCTCCATACCCATGTTCGCGCCAGCGCGTGCAATTGAGTCCAAGAGTTGTTGCAAATGCCGTTCGTTGCGCCCGACTAAAACTGTGTCGTTTGCGTATAAAAATACCGAAAGGCTTCCGGACAACAGTGATTGGGCCACGTCGTCCTGCAGGTACGTCTCCGTGTCTTTGACGAGCGCAGTCATAACCATCACAAACAGAAACGGCGAGAGTGGGCAACCTTTTGAGATACCTGACAGCTGTCCCCGTTTTTCTGACCTCCGGGGCCCGTCTGCCACGCAGAAGCGACGGGAGCCGTAGATATTCCCAATGATTTCAAGCAGAAACGCGTCTTACGCGAGATGGCGTACCGACCTTGAGCGGCGGCTTACGCGCGCCGCCGGCGCGGAACGCTGCGTTGGAGACGAGAGCGCTTACGCGCGGCTTACGCGGGCAGCGTACGCGCCAATGTCGGCGCAGACGATCCTCTTGTTTGGCGTCGCTCAGGTAATCCCTGCTGCCCTCAACAGGCCCCCCAACCGGCCCTGGGCGGTCTCAACACCATGGCGCCGCCTCCGGCGGCGCCCCTGGAGCGCCCCGCGCTTCAGGGTTGAGGTGTTGAGACTGCCCCAGACTATTCGGGGGGCCTGTCGAGGCCAGCTGGGACTACCTGGGGGGCTGTCTGTGCGCAACCCGAAGCTCGACTGAGTGAGAGGGGGAACTGCGGCGGGCTCACGTCGCGATGACGTCGCGCTGGCTTCCGAAAGCGCACGGATCGTGCAGCCTTGCACGATCGCGGCTTTCCGACAACGCCAATCGTTCGATATCGGCCGATTGTGGGCCACGGGAGGCGTTCGCCCGCGCTGGGGTCGCCGTCGCGTGAACACAACACGAACCGACCTTCGCTTGCCTGAGCGACGAAAGGAAACGAGTCTTCCGAAAGACGGCATGGCGACCCTGCGCGGCGGCTTGCGCGGGCCCAGGGACCTCGGCCCGCTCTCGCGGGCTCTCGCTCTGCATGTTGGGCGACCCGCGCTGGAGACCAGCAGCGGGACCTGCCTTGCTGTGGAGCAAGCTCGCGTGGAGGGCAGCCACAGGCACGGCCACCATCGGTTTCAACCTGCCGAGCCCACGCAGAATGGCAGCAGCAGTGCTCGACAAGCCGTCCAGTTCCTGGAGCAGTTGCAAAGGCCCGCTGGAAGCAGCGCGCCACAGCCTGCACAGCATCGGCTGGCCATTCGTCCCCCCCTTTGCCATCCAGGACGCCCTCGGGAACCAGCATATCCCAACCAGCACCTCACCCAGCCTCCTCCAGGACCTCGTCAAGCAGGCCCGTGACCAGATGCTCCTCAGAACCGCAGCCACCAAGATGAGCCTCGACGGGGCCACGCTGACCGTAGAAGTCGCTCAGAAGTGTATCCTGTCGGGCACCCTCACCAAGATCAAGAGAACCGGCCTTCTCGCCTTCCTTTGCAGAGCCATCTGGACGCGCTGTGGCTTGAAGAAGCGGCAGGAGAATGCTTGCGCGGAGCTGCCTCGGACGATCTATCCGATCGTATTCTGAGATGTCCCCCTACTGGGCCCCATGGGACCAACAGCCTCACCAGCGACAAAAACGCGAGATCCTTACAGGACAGGACCGATTTTCCTTGGCTGCTGGTTTTCAAGTTGAGCCCGACTTCGACGTAGGAGCCCCAGTTGGGCTCGGCCTTAGCTCTTTGGAGTTTTGTTCCGCGGATCCCTCGGCGACCCCTGCAACGGCCCTAATGTGTAAAGTATCCCTGGACGGCTCGTGATTGAAATCTGGTAGCGAAACCCATCACACAACTGGATGGGCGGTCATCAAGATAGACGACCAAGGCGAAATTCTAGCAGCTTGAACTGGCCAAGTCGGCCGCGGTCTCCCCTAACCCTCCCCCGCTGCTGAGCACTGCGACGTGCTTGCTACAGTCTCCTCCTCCTCCTCCTCCTCCTCCTCCTCCTCCTCCTCCTCCTCCTCCTCCTCCTCCTACTACCAGATCACTGGAATCTCAATTGCCCACCAAGGAGTCACAGATTTATAACTACTCCACGGGGCTATCTCGGCGACGCAGGTACGTTGGGATAGGCCTCCTTGCCCGTGCTGCCATGGGCTGGCATCCCCAACTCAGAACTTCAAAGGTCCAGGCCCGCCGGGACCTCGACTCGCCGGCCCAGGGATCCACAGAATGGACGGGTGCTCGGGGGAACCACGGGGCCGACCGTTTTGCTGGGATCGCCTCTCGCTCTCGCAAGCGGCCCTCCGATGCTGAGATCGAGAGCCCCGCAGACGAATGTAAGTTTCTCAACAAGTATTGTCACTTCGTCGCGCGAGCCCTTCAGATATGGCCACCTGTACGACCCAGCACATCAAAGAAGGCTTACGCCAAACCTGCCGAATATCTATCGCCCCCTGGCGGTGCGGCCTCTGCCCAAAGTTCGGGGGCGCGCAAGCATCACTCGGGGTCGGCCCCTCGCCCCGGAGAGCTCGAACGCGGGCTCATAAAAAAACCCAGCGGCCGCCCAGACGGCCCAAGAGGGCACTGAGTGGCCGAAACATCGCTCCAAGACACCCAATATGTTCCTCAGACGACCCCAGAAGCCTCCGACGTGCCCTCCCGACACCTCCTAAGACTGCCCAAAGACGAAAGTCTGTCCCATTCCCTTGGGAAAACGTGCATTTTGTCATTTTCGCTTCTTCGGCCTCCTCCCTCCTCCCTCCTCCCTCCTCCCCCTCCTCCGCCTCCTCCCTCCTCCTCCTCCCTCCTCCCTCCTCCCCTCCTCCTCCCTCCTCCCTCCTCCTCCTCTTCCGTCCCTCCTCCCTCCTCCCTCCTCTCTCCTCCCTCCTCCCTCCTCCCTCATCCCTCCTCCCTCCTCCCTCCTCCTCCCTCCTCCCTCCTCCTCCTCCTCCTCCTCCTCCTCCTCCTCCTCCTCCTCCTCCTCCTCCTCCTCCTCCTCCTCCTCCTCCTCCTCCTCCTCCTCCTCCTCCTCCTCCCCCCCTATCGGCGATGAATGGGCGATTGGAGGTCGATGC